TCTAAATACAGAGATGAAGAGGCCGCTCAAAGTGACAGACTAACAACAGCTGCGGCATTTCCATTCCACGCTTTAACACCCCCACCCCCAGGGCTGTGTAGCACAGGAAAACTAATGTCACGACAATCAAATGAAAATCTTTAGATACTGATGCACAAAGTGTAATCGGCTGAAATATTACTGTGTGAACAAAAAAAGCATTTTAAGAGACCAACACTCACGTCTTCAGTGTCCTTTACTCGCAGGATCTGTTCCCGGAGGTCCTGCAGGTCATTGAATGTTGACTGCGCTGTAATGGAGTACACCAAAGCAAAGCCTTGGCCATTCTTCATGTACAGGTCCCTCATTGCTGTGAATTGTTCCTACAGAATGATAAGAGAGGCGAGAATCCATCAGCAGCCCATTTACATTTATCTTGTAAGCCCCGTTCAGCTGGAGCCAGACTCTGCCATGACTCACCGTTCCAGCCGTGTCCAGGATTTCAAGCATACATTGCTGTCCATCGACCTCGACTTGCTGTTGGAGAAAAGCAAACAGGTACATTTTTTATTCGCCAAGTAGAGGATTTATACAGCAAGTCACCAAGTTGGTTTGAAAAAGTTCTGAATGTTACATCTAGTGTGTCTCTGAGCTCACCTTTCTGTAGGAGTCTTCTATTGTGGGGTCGTACTTCTCCACAAAAATGCCCTGCACAAATTGGACTGTCTGGAACGGACAAATGAAGCAAAGGAAGAGCATGAGACCACTTCACTGCTGAACAAAAACTGGCACACTTATAAATGACCATCCATTACTGCAGCAGGAGAGCAAGGATGCCTAATTGTACATGTGAACATAATGTCTCATCAGCAATTTTCCTTATTAGCTGGAAGATGGTTTAAGAACATTTATATTCTTGAAGCTGCCCAAGTCCAAGAACTGCTCTTAAATTACTCATTTGTGCCCTGGTTCAATATAATTTACAAACGTAATTCCATATTTTGTTTTGTTAAAGTTGTAAACACCACTGGCTGGAGGTTTGGGTTTTTATAAAGCAGATTACAATCACAATGACAAAATTCTTTATTTTATAGTGAGAAAGTGTTATCCTGTTAACAGGGCTTTTCCAGAGCTCACCAAGTTAAACCCAAGACTTTAAAACTTTTAATACCATAGATAATGCTATTTAATACCTGACAACAGTTACAGCAATCAAAGGAAGCTAAACAGTAGGGATGACATGGCCTAGAAATATTTACCACCTGCATGCATTTATATAGTTTTGTCACTTCTTCACAACTGTGTATAACAATTAATCAAATCAATAATATCTCTATTAAACCCAATCTGAATGTGGATAATGGTTGGAAGGATTAGC